TATTTTTTTTGGAGCTAGGAAAGAAATTTTTTGTCTTTTTTTGTTCTATGCTTACTAGTTTACTAGTGACACGTTAGAGTTGATTGTGTTAATATGAGAATTGGAAGATAAAATTTCAGATAAAATTCAGTAAAATAAAACAGCTCATGGGGTTACAAGCAATCGGGGTGGATCTAGAAACTTTATCACTGAGGCAAGACTATAAGTATAAGAAGTATGTAATATTTTTTAATATTGTGACATGATTACCAAATATGCATATATATTATATGTACAAACAAAATATAGCCAATAGAAGTACCATTCTAGAATTCTTTGCAATTGCTTCCTCTTTATTTTCAAACTTTGATAACTCTGAAAATATTCATTTTTTAACACTGGATTAATTCATATTTCGACACCAATTTATTTGTAAGAATATGAAAAGATGAGCTTGGACTTGGTATCAATGGGTGTTTTTGGTGGGAGACAATAGTCTATCTAGAGTTAGGTTAGTAGTAGGCGGCAGTCCCAAAAAATTAGTGTTGGGATGCTGCGACGACCAACAATTGTTGCAGCAGAGCAAAGACACAATTACAGAAGAGGCTGGAGGAGGTTTCAAAAGAATTTGGAAATTACATGATGGTAATTTAAGGATAGAATTATGAAATTTGGATATATGGGTGGGGCTTGGCCCATTGAAGTTTATAATTTCCAACATTTGAGGGGCTAGGGTCATTGGACTAAACTAGTGTGGAGGCACATGTAAAAAATAGGGACCTAATATTGAATATGTTTGTTTTGGGGGTTAATGGGGGCAATTGACTCTATTGGCCCCATTGTGAATCTGCTCTTGTGTAATAACTCTTGAAGTCGGGGAAAATTTAGTCTAATAAAAAAGTTGATGAGGTTTACCGTAAATCTCTGAAAATTCATAGGGATTTTTCTGTAGCTAACTCTTATATAAAAATCGTGAAATCTCAAAATTTTCGTCCACTCCACTACTGTCTCCACAATGAGTAAGTTTTCTCTCAGAACCTCCGGCACAGTGCTGAAGGTTCTAGATCAAACTCTGCAAAACAGAGGGCAATGAGGCAATTTTCACTGCCACATGTGTGGCTATGAGAAATAGGACCATTAGTCCACCACAATGCCTCACAATGACAAACGAGCAAAATTACCTCACGCATTGCTATGACATTTGTGTGATGAAATTAGAAAATAATGGTTAAGTACTTTTCTTAAAATAACTCTTTTCTAGTTTGGGGATAAAAATATTTTTAGGAGTTGTAATATACATAAATTACTTTCAAATAAATCCTTTATTATTAGGTCTCACGATTCTCGTAATCTTTTTTGAATTAATGACTCCAATTATTAATTCTACTCTTTATTAAAGGTACTCACTTCAAAATAATATAAGAAGTGAATGAACTAATAGTAATTTTAATAATTTGCGAGGTCAACTTCTAAATGAGTTAAGAATCGGCCGAGCGTGATAGCACTTTTATGATTTGAGGTATTTGTTTTAAAATATGAGAGTTGTAAGATATTAATGTTGGAAGGGGGAAAAAGGCTAACTTTTTGGGTTTCAAAATAAAATGGGGGTAAAATCTATTAGTTAAAGTAAAAAAATGAACTTTTTTAATTAGATAGGCTTCAAAATCATTGAATGCTATTTTGTTCCCGTATTTGAGTTTGAAATTAGTCCCTCAAGCTAATAAAAATGTTATTTTGTCCTCTAATTCTCACAATATTTTTTTTAAATTAATGTATCCAATTGTTGCTTCTAGTTTTTATTGAAGGGAGTAATTTCAAAATAACGGTTTAATGATTAAGGAACCTAATAGTAATTTTAATAATTTGAGAGATCAATTTCTAATTAACTTAAGAATTATAAAACTTAATAACAATTTTCATAATTTGAGGGAGTAATTTCAAAACATGAGAGGTTTCAAGTACTCATAATAAAAAGAATTTTTTTAAGTAAAGGATTAAAAAAATGGGGAAAGTTTGGAGGATCGAATCTGAGATTTGTACTCATCATAATAAAAAGATTTTTTTTAAAGTAAAGGATTAAAAAATTGGGGAAAGTTTGCAGGACCGAACCTGACCTGAGATTTGTGAGAAGACGTTATAATAATTTTAGTACGTACATAAATAAAAATGTTGTCCACTCTGTCTAGTTTGATTGGGACCTGAACGTTGACTTAAGCCACCGCAGCAATCCACGTTAAAAAAACAAAAAAAAAAAGATTAAAATAGGAAAATGATAGGGGCAAACCCCAATCACATTCCAAATCACACACTATACCAGGTTTTATATGGATTTTAAAATTTAAAAATTCATGTGGGCCCGATATACTGTAATCGTATGAGAGAGAATGTACAGTTTGTGATGTGGTTGGGTGTACCCTAGTGTCACCCATTAAAATAACAATCCTGCTATTTGGCTCGCAAAAGCCAGCGCGCAGCCAGCGCGCAAGAGAGAGGAACAGGGGGGTGGGCCCCACAGCTGTGGGGCCCACCCCCCTGTTCCTCTCTCTTGCGCGCTGGCTGCGTGCTAGCTTTTTGCGAGCCAAAAAGCTTTTCCGTTAAAATAATGCCCACGCTTAGCGTGCTCATAAAATAATACAGATCTGCTCTTGCCATTTATATAATTCTCGAATCGATTACTCTCAACCGTGCCTTCAAAAAATCAAGAAGAAGAAGAAAACCTTGCGCTCAAAGATCTAGCAATGGATGCTTCACGAGGATTCATCTCCAACGCGTGGCATCTGCTGGCGTTTCTCCCCTTCTTCATTCTCCTCTTCATTCTCGGCATTATTAAAGGTAGCCGTAGTGGGTTCTTTTTAATAGAAACTAGCTTGAATTAGCTTGCTGAATCTTTATGGAGCTAATTTTACTTGATTTCTTCAGTTGCGATTTTTGGGTCTTGTGTATTTCTCGTCATCTTGGTCGGGAATCTTGCTCTGATTTACGGTCTGTATCCTGTTCATGTGGTGTGGACTGGATACTGCATATCGAGGTGAGGATGAAATTTCAGCTGAAATGTTTAGTGTTAATGTTAAATTTTACCATGTTTTAGGTTAATTGCACTTCCGTACTCTAAAATTTGACCAATTTTTAACTTTGATGCCATGGACTTTAAATCTTCCCGAGTGACTACTCTCTAACTTTTGCCAATTTCGGATTTAATACGTCTTGTTATATCAGCTCTGAACTTTGCTTAAAAAATGTTGGGTGATTATTATTATTATTTGGACTTTCATACCCTAGACTGAAAGGAAGTTTCCCCAAATCCCTGTCTTGCTCCTCCGGCCATTTTGCCCTAAACCCATCGAAATCAAAGGCTATAATGTCATTTTATCCCCTCTCCCTTAATTTAAGGGTGTGAGCTACATCTTTTGGCCAGATTTAAACTTCAGGGTATCAGAGTTAAACAACAATGAAACTTTGGGATATTAAAGTGTCATCAACCCTTAAATATTGTAATGCAATGTATGATTCAGTTTTCTGTTGGGCATGATAGGACTAAGAGATTTGGGGTGGTGCTTAAGGCTCTTATCCTCTTATTATTTCCTCTTCCTGTCTTGCTTTGGCTACCGTTGGCCACAATTGGTTCGGTGCTTACTGGACTTACATTTGGAATTGGGTTGCCATTAATGGCTACTTTCGCGCCTGTAAGAGAAGGGGTCACCGACAAATTCCTTAGGTGCTTAAAGGTTCATACCGCACTGCATTTCTAGTCTTAATTTAACACCTTATTTACACTTCTTTCTTCTTACCCCAAACTGGTTGGTTGGTAGGATGGTACTTGGGGCTCAATTAAAGCAGCATTTACCGCTGTTCGTGATTTCAAAGACATTTGCTTCCATTCATACTTCTCTGTAATGGATGGGCTACTTGAATCAAGGGGTGACACCCTGATGGACATAAGGTACATTTCACAGTATGTATGTCACCTGTTTTTGTTTTGAGGTTTTATTTTGATGGTTGCCAAACTTGGATACCTCTTTGAGCTTTTCTCTGCTTTGAGTTTTGATACATAGTGACCTTGCTATTGACGAGAAAATATTTTGATTAGAACGAAGAAGAAGATGATGAATGACAATATCATATTATGTTGCTAAATTTTTGTTGTTAAGAAACAACAAAAAATTTCATACTCACTTTAAAAGTGGGAGTTGTGAAAAAACTTTCGATGGACTATATTACCCCAATTCTCTTTCGATATTACATTCCAATCTTCACCAAACTAAATTAATTATCATTGTTAATTAATTATATTATATGTCTCTTCAATTTTGTATAACTTGGTCCTTAAAACTTTCAACGTTACTATGAAACTCTACATCATGTTAATTATTAATAATGTATAATAATATATTAAAAGATAATTGCATGTTGATGAATTATTTATGGAAAATGTAGAAAACATATAATTGTCCTAACATGACACGATGACACTCTTATAGGAAAATTACAAAGAGTATTCTTATGTTTAGGCAATAGGACGGAAGGTACAAACATGTAATTTTAGAAAAGATAGGATATTTAAGTGCAATAAAATACAAGTGGAGGTATATAAGTGCAACTTTGGTAAACTATAACGTATTTAAGTTCAATTAAGCCTACAAAGTTTTGAAACTTTTGTTAACGCCAAACAATAGTATATGATCCTATTGACAAATAATATTCATAGTATAATATGAGGCCAGAGGCTTAGCTTATGTTTGTGTAATATGGGAGATGTGGAAAAATTAACTTATTATATTTTGAATAAGTCTAAGGATTTTGGATTACTTTCTGAAATTATATACTTTGCTTAGAAAACTTTAGAAGAGGCTTTCAAAGGAATACTATAAAGTGTTGGACATCACATGAATATTAGACAGCTAAAATCTAATTGGATTACGAAAATCCGAGATATGCAAAAAATGTGTGGCTGTCATATGAAATAATGTTCATACATAACATAACATTGTAATTTGTAATCTAAACATATTAATGGATCTAAACATCAAAATTTACATCATGATATATGCTTAAGATTTGAGAGAGCTGAGAGCGGAGAGATTTGAGAGGCGAATTGTCAATATCTAAAAATTAAGAATAACTTGAGTTGTCAATATCTAAAAAGGGATGTATCGGCCGGTATTTTTGATAACGGCTGATATATTAGAAAAAAACCGTAAAAAGGAAAACAAAATAAAACCATAAGTATCATCACGATAAGGTTTTTAACTCGATATATCAAACGATATAGCGATACACCAGCCGATATTTAATTGTCTACAAGAGCAAATATTTAAAAGTTATCTGGATATTAGTTCCTTGATTTTAAGTCTTCAATAATTATATTTTATTCCCTCAAAATTTTGAAATAGCTCATAACTTTAGGGGGACTAATATTGAAAATTTAAAGATCTGAGGGTCAAATATGTAAATAAGCCATATTTAAAAGAAGGGTTAATTGTTTGAAAACCCTCTCGACTATGGTGATTGTCTCACAAAACCTACTCAACTGATTTAATTTGAGAAACACCCCCCTTCCCGAACTAGGGGGTGTTGTAGATAACCCTAGGTTGCATGGGTACGGGTATTGTCAAGCCCCTAAAAATCATAGCAGGAGATAAATACGGAGTACACGACAGTAGTGACCCGTGCACAAGACGAGTCTCATGCACGTGCCAAGCCTGACACTTCATATCATATAGCTCTTCTCAATATATATATATAAAACCTATTGATGGTAGAATGTTCACAGCAAACTATACACATGACCATTATTTCAATCCAAAATCTCACCGTCAAAAGTATTTCTATAATCCAAATATATGTCGTTTGGCTATACCCGAGGCAAAAGAGAGACTTTCCCATATATCATCTCCAAGCAAATCCCTCATCCAAAAGCCGGCGTGTGAACACAAGATTTGTAAAAAGATTTGAAAACAATAGGGGTGAGCTAAAGCTTAGTGAGAACATTTTCCACTAGAGTTCCTGAATATCTAACAAAATAATTGTAATTTTGAGAAATAGTGAATTATAAATTTTGTACCAAAAATTCCAAAATAGCAAAATATGGTCCACGACAACATACTACTATTGTTATCTTCAAGAAAGAATGTAATATTTTAGATTTCTTTCTTATGTGCAAACTAAATATACCGTAATATATTCTAGAATCAGACTGTTTTGAAATCAATAAAAATACTAAGAGAAAAAATGGACTATTAAATTTGTGTAAAACCAAATGATTGCTATTTTCTTAGATCATAGTCAAATGTCAAAATCTTAAATCTTGATGAGTCATTTATATAATGCAAGAGTCACCTCATAGGTCACACTAAGACTACGAATTATAGCCCAATAAGATGTGCCAAAAGACATCACATAATATAGTTTTCGCGAACAAAATGCACCTGACTCTGTCATAGGTCACTGGCCATATTACAAACGTCCAAAAAGAGCCACATCATAAATGCCCAAAAAGGACCACATAAAGGTGCATTCAAACAATATGGCAGGTGCAAACACACCACTTCATAGTGGACTCTCCGAGGGTTTTGAAAACATCGAGAATCACTTGCCAAATGGCTTGATTTCGAGAACACATCCTTTGTCAATTCATTTGATTTCATAATACATCAATTATCAAATTGCTTGTTTCCAGAAACACATCACTTGTCAGATTACTTGATTTCAAAAACGTGTCACTTGTGCCAAATAATGTTGGTATGTTCACTTATTAAAATTATAAATACTTTAAATCAAGCGGATGAGTGTAAATCTCATCATCTCACTTAAAACAGTTTACGATTTTATTTTTCTCTATTTTTATTTGATACTAAGTCACTAGAGAATCTTTAAACCCATTAAACTGTTGAAACACATTCGAAATACTTATTTTCTTCAAAAGCTTTAAAATAAAACATTATTCACAATTAATTGAGATCACATGAAACTAGAGCTACTTATCACATTTTAAGTGAAATCAAATTTACTTTTAATATCTTATACGAAACCAAAAATTATATTATGGGTTAGGCCACAATAGAAATAGAGTGAATCACATTTAACTTTATATACATGAAAAATAATAGATTATTTATTTATTGAACACAAGATCAATCAAATATAGCACTGAAGCAATTTCATATTATAAAAATACTAGTGAAATATGAACTCACCTCTTAACTATTCCAATGCTCAATCCATAATCCTCTCCGTTCTTAATCGAATCAAGTTTATCATAAAAATCTCTATTTAATTCTTGTTCTACACCATATCATCATCACCATACCAGAGACCAAACAAGAAAGAAGGATTGTACCTTAATGGTTGTCGGATGCTTCTCTTCTCCTTCTACTTCACTTCCTTATCCAAATCAAATTTTCGATAGAGAACTGTAGTAGAGAACTGTAGTAGAGAACTAGGAGGGCATTAGGTTAGTTTTTTCTTTTTTATTTAGCTTTTTTTATTTTTATTTTTGCCCTTGTTTCTCTTCTTATTGCTACCTTGAGGCAGTGTCGCTCTCCTATCCCAATTGCAAGGAGCCACCGAAAACATAGGCTTGGCGGTGACAAACTATGGAGATTGGAAAATGTTACACAAAACCCCTTATCAATAATAGATTTGCATGAGATCTTATTAGGGTAACTTAATTAGTTTCATTAAAGGCTACTACAGGTACGGGTACAATACTGGAGCAGGTATGGGTACGGGGCAAGGCGAATTTGTGAAAGGTGGGGTACAGGGACACGGCTATACATATGCATGTTATGTATATTTATATATAGTAAATGAATAATTTACATAAGAATAATTTTTTTTCATTTACATAAAATCAATATATAATAAATAGATGTAGAATATACATCCAAGAAGTGTACGAGGAGTGTTTTAAATTAAGACTTGTATTATATAATTGAGTATAGGCCCAAATAAATATATGCATATATTCAAGAAATGTCTGGGTACGGTTACGGTATGGGTACGGATTCCTAATAGAAGTACCCAAGTAACATAGAGATGACCCCTCTTAACTTTAGTGCAATTATAGAAAAGCCCCCTAAACTATAGCCTTTTAATGAAAACTCCCTTGATATTTTACACTTTTCTCAACAAACCCACTTGACGTAGTTATTTTGATATGTGATTTGGATGAAATACTCTCTTAAAAAATCCATTTTAGTTAAAAAGAAACCCTCAACTGATAATAACAGGGCCATGACCACTTTACAATTCTTTTTCTCTCTATATCTCCTTGTTTTCTTTCATCTCGCAAAAACGAAGGTAATTCTTTTATGGTTGAGGGATATTTTGGTATTTCCAAGTCAAGTATTTGTCACATAATAGATTAGACTCAACGATGTTAGTTTCGAGGGGTTAAGTGAGAAATGTTCAAGGGGGTTAAATCAAGTTTTTGATGTTGAGATAGATTATATGCAAAATCCCGAACTTGAGGGAGATTTACTCAATTTGAAAAGGTTGAGGGGTTTTTTCGACATACCCCACCCCGCCTCTCAATAGTTAAAGGGGAGTTTTCTAAAATTACCCCTTAAACAAAGCATAACTTAGTGCTTATGTGACATTGATTTTAAAAGAGTGGATTTTATATCAAGTTTATCACTCAATGGACTGATTTGGGTTATTTGTCCTAAGATTTATCGAATACATCAACTCTGAAAATCATTTAGTATTAGAGTTTCTAAGAGCATTTTACTCTTTATTTGGGAAGGGTATGTAATCCTTCTGATTCTCCGTATCTTGCTTGATCTATAACTAATTATTTGACAAAATAAATTAAGTTGTTCATTTTATATTATTCACCTTCTTATACGTTTATGAAACACATAGTTTGGAGATGAGTATTGTTGCAGATATTGGATTCTTCTAACTCCTTAACCTAAATATTTAGATGTTATTTGACATCGGATAGATTTGAATTATTTTGTTAAAATACAATTCATTATGAGTGTATAATATGTAAAAATCATACTTAAATTATATTTCACAATTTTTTAAAACTAGAGAGTAATCATTTTGGCAAATCAAGTACTTAGTTGAGAAGATGTAGAAAGATTACAATATTAGATTTTGATATTGATCACATAATTATGTTTTCTTTTTAGAATTTGCACATTCTGACGTAGAAAATTCTAGAAAAAAGCTTTTGAATTACTATAATACCCGGTCGCTGGCTATAAACAACAGGTGGAAGTGATTTCCTTATGTCTAAAAAAAATCGTTCATGACTTGATAAAATCTATTATTTTACTTTGATGAATTCAAAATTTTATTTTTTCATTAATAATAAGATTTTTTCCGATATCGGTCCCTTACATCATGAATATTTTGAAATTAGTCCTTCAAATCATTAAAACTGCTCTTAAATCATTAATGTATTAGAACTTCAAACTTCATTATTTCTCTGGAAGGCAAAATGTTGAAACTAATAGTATCTTACACATGGAATTATCCAAAACTTTTTAATATATTATGATATCGTAAACTTTTTTGCACCTATGTTGTAGCAAATAAATAAACATGAAATAAATGATTAAGATATTTAACCCATTCCACCTAGTGTTAAGAAAAGAGGTACTTGTCTTATATGAATATGACATACATTTATATATGCTATAAACTCCTTAACATGTAAAGATAGCTATAAGATATTTTATTTAGAATATGCATGTATGCACGTGTTACCTATGTATGACATTTGTTAGAAATTGTCATTGTTTTGTATTATAATGATCCACTATAATATTTGTAGAAACAACTTTTGAGTGAACTATGTATTGGAGGAGAAAACTAAAGTGAGTTTGTCTAAATCTTTTATTACAAATTGTGAAATGATATCCACGAAAAAATAAGCCAGAATATCCTAGCTTAATTTTTGGTGAATTATGAGTCAAAATAAGCCATTTGCCATGACTTATAGGCCTTCTTGACCATTTGCCAAACATGCTCTAAGTTCATGTTGATTAGATTATTTCTTGGGGTTGGAAATGCCCATTAACGGAGATGGACTAAGCTACTCTACTTGGGCCCAACCAACTCGAATTAATTAATCCTATTTGAGTAAGAAGTCTAAGCATTACTTAACCATGTGCCCATCTTACTCTTTTTTTCATATGGCACTAAATCCCGCGTCATAACATTTTCAAAACCAAACACACACTTGATTGAATTGATGGGAGACACTTCTGAACATATCTTCACCTCTTGAATCCAATTGAGTCCAACTCTACCCCACCCTCGCTACTGAATGGCTAATGAAGACAAAGTCCCAACTTAATACTTCGTAACTGACAGAGTCAGACCAGAGACAAGTGTAACGGCATGTGCAGTTGTGCACCCAATGCCCTAACTGGTGACGTTCAAGTTACACCAGAGTCAAATGTAACTTCAAATGCTCTCCATCTTGACCTCTAACTCCATGCAATAGAATCTCAAAGCAAAAAGAACATCCAACACAGGCTCATTGAAGCATGGGCTCGGATACCAGTTTGTTAGGTTTGAAACAACCCAAGTAGATTAGCCTAGTCCATCTCCATTAATGGGCGTTTCCAAACCTAATTTTACTTTCCATATTCGAATGGATTCAAGAAATATTTTGACAGGCTTTCTTGAATATGAGCAAAATCCCAATATGCATAAAACCCCTACTGCTGGGTATTTTTGGTTGGCCGTGTGAGAATATAATAGCGTGTACTGTCCTTTTAGAGTGCAATGTCTATGAAGTTCTAATCAAGGGCTTTCATGTGTGCACTGCATGCCAATATCCCATTTCATCCTTTCCTACTCTGATGTAATAACCATGTTATGCAGCTTGAGTTGCAAATAACTTCCTCTGATGTTTTAATAAGATATGATGCTTATATATTACATTGCTTTGGTAATTAGCTTCCGTTAGACATCTATAGGTTCTAGCACTTGTGATATGAACTGACAGTTTACTTCAACATTTTCCCCTCCTATAGAATACTGCAGATTCCAGGTTGCATACTGGCAGGGATTTTAGGTGTTCTTATCGACGTGCCTATGCTTAGTCTAATAACTATCTACAAGCTTCCTGTCATGCTGTACAAAGGATGGAGGCAGTTAATACATGATCTTATTGGACGTTCAGGTCCATTTTTGGAGACTGTCTGTGTTCCTTTTGCTGGACTTATGATTTTGCTGTGGCCAATAGCAGTTGAATTGACTGCTGCAGCTGGAATTCTTTCTAGTTTTAGTCTTGGACTATATGCTGCTGCTGTTGCATATCAGGTATAACTGATCTATTGAGCTCATGGTATTTCAATCTTATGAAGTCAGTGGTATCTTGCCCAAGTAATAATAGTTCTGTTGTAATGTTCTGTCAGGAGAAATCTACAAAGAGTGGGATACTTTATGCCATTGCTGTCATATCCATGTTTGATGAATTTACCAATGATTTTCTTTACATGAGAGAAGGGTCATGCTTCCCAAGGTTTATTCCAACTGTGCTTTTGTTTTACCTGTTCATATTCTGTTGCTTTGAACATGATGTATGGACTTTGTAACAAACACCATGGTTACACTTGTATCGTCACACATGGTTTTTTCACCTGCAATTGAAGATTACTTCGTGCATCTCTTTTGAAATAATCTTCATGCATCTTTTTTCTGCCTTCTCATTTAATGTTAATCAAATTTTATTTGTTTATAAGTAGTCTCATACTCAACAGAGACATGCATGAACCATTCAATTTCCAGCGGAGCACAAAAGTACATGTGTTTTCTAGCCTATCGAAATATCTTAAGATGAAATCATTGTCTATCATACATAACAAAATAATTTTCTTATATGGGCAGACAGACCTAGATACCGTAAGGTAATACTTGCTCGTTCACCGACTCTTCCAGTTCAGAGGTTTCCAGACCAATCCAGTTCTACTTCTTTAGCTACTTCTTTAAAGCACCCACTGGTGAAGACGCCTTCCATGAAATTGCTGGAGTTGAGATCTGTTATGGTAAGAACTTAGAAATTTCCCTCTGTTTAGCTTCAAATAAAAAATAAGCATTAATTTCACAAAATTTCCTCCTGAAGTTTGGATGGTTTTGCACATAACCCCCCTGCACTTTTTTTTTAATCTCGCATAACCTGCTGAACTTTTCTCTTTGGAACCCCTATCTGCAATTGGCTAATACTTAAATTTCTTGGAGAGAAAAAAGCCTCAACTGGGGGAGGGGGTACATTGCCTGTAAATGACAAAATGGTGAAATTTGGGATTTTGTCTCTCAAGAAAATGTTAGTTATTTGCCAATTAGAGATAGGTGGTCCGGTGAGAAAAGTTTAAAGTTCAGGGTTTTTTGTGAGACATCCCAAAGTTCAAGGGGTTTATGTGAGATAAAAAGCTCAAGGAAGTTATGTGCAAAAACCCCAAAGTCCAGGGGGTTTCTGAAATTAAATCAAAAATTATTTAGTTTTCATTCCCTCTCACAGATATGGGAGAACATTATCAAGGCATGTGAAAGTCTGGGGAAAGACCTTGTCAAAGATGATGCAATCAGGGTATCAGATTTAGAGGCATGGCAGAATTCCAAGAACAAGATAGTTAACATTGGGCTCCCTTCATGTGTGTGTCTACAGTGTTTTATTCGTTCCATTAAGAGTGGTTCTACCGGCTTCATCATGCGTACAAACTGAAAACTTTGACTTCTTCTAGGTTTGCAATTTTAGATGAACTGTTGTAATTTAAGCATAAGAGATCTTACCATTATTTGTGATGGCAGGTGACGGTGTTGAAGTGACGAGTTTGAACAGGCCTGAAGGACGAATTTTTGATTGGTTTTTTGAGCCCATGCTTCTTCTGAAAGAGCAGATTAAGGCCATAGATTTAACAGAGAGTGAAGAGGCATACCTCTATAAGTTGACCCTATATTGTGGTGATACTCAGAGATTAGCTGCTTGGCAGAATGGTGGAATTCCACCAGCTGATGAGGTCAAAAAGGCTCAGTTAGAGGGATTAAGCAGAAGGTACTACTACTCATAGCTTAAATTATGCTAGTTTATATCCGAACTTAGTCCTGCAGCTTGATCAAGAGATTTTGTCCTGAGCAGAGGAGCCCGCTGAATGCTCGGGATATTTAATCAGACTTAATTAGTTTCTTTAATTTAGGAACTGGCCTCTACATGCCCACGTGTCAAAAAGACACAATGATCATAATTTTTTGGTAATATAAATGGTGGTTTTGGTTTTCAAGGATGGTTTTGCACATAACCCCCTGCACTTTTTTTTAATCTCGCATAACCTGCTGAACTTTTCTCTTTGGAATGGAACCCCCTATCTGCAATTGGCTAATACTTAAATTTCTTGGAGAGAAAAAAGCCTCAACTGGGGGGAGGGGGTACATTGCCTGTAAATGACAAAATGGTGAAATTTGGGATTTTGTCTCTCAAGAAAATGTTAGTTATTTGCCAATTAGAGATAGGTGGTCCGGTGAGAAAAGTTTAAAGTTCAGGGTTTTTTGTGAGACATCCCAAAGTTCAAGGGGTTTATGTGAGATAAAAAGCTCAAGGAAGTTATGTGCAAAAACCCCAAAGTCCAGGGGGTTTCTGAAATTAAATCAAAAATTATTTAGTTTTCATTCCCTCTCACAGATATGGGAGAACATTATCAAGGCATGTGAAAGTCTGGGGAAAGACCTTGTCAAAGATGATGCAATCAGGGTATCAGATTTAGAGGCATGGCAGAATTCCAAGAACAAGATAGTTAACATTGGGCTCCCTTCATGTGTGTGTCTACAGTGTTTTATTCGTTCCATTAAGAGTGGTTCTACCGGCTTCATCATGCGTACAAACTGAAAACTTTGACTTCTTCTAGGTTTGCAATTTTAGATGAACTGTTGTAATTTAAGCATAAGAGATCTTACCATTATTTGTGATGGCAGGTGACGGTGTTGAAGTGACGAGTTTGAACAGGCCTGAAGGACGAATTTTTGATTGGTTTTTTGAGCCCATGCTTCTTCTGAAAGAGCAGATTAAGGCCATAGATTTAACAGAGAGTGAAGAGGCATACCTCTATAAGTTGACCCTATATTGTGGTGATACTCAGAGATTAGCTGCTTGGCAGAATGGTGGAATTCCACCAGCTGATGAGGTCAAAAAGGCTCAGTTAGAGGGATTAAGCAGAAGGTACTACTACTCATAGCTTAAATTATGCTAGTTTATATCCGAACTTAGTCCTGCAGCTTGATCAAGAGATTTTGTCCTGAGCAGAGGAGCCCGCTGAATGCTCGGGATATTTAATCAGACTTAATTAGTTTCTTTAATTTAGGAACTGGCCTCTACATGCCCACGTGTCAAAAAGACACAATGATCATAATTTTTTGGTAATATAAATGGTGGTTTTGGTTTTCAAATACTCGTGGATGCATGCTGATTGTAAGAACAAATCAGACATGAATACAATGTGTTGTGTTAAAAACTTGTTCTCTGAAGAAAAAAGTAAGTTTGGTTTTTTTTATAATAGCCCCAAAATCTTTCATATTTCCAAATTATTCCCTCTAATCTTCATATTTTGAAACTAGTCCCCCAAGTCTTTAACTGTTTTGAAATTAGTCCCTAATTCTCCATATTTTCAAATTTATCCCCCAAATATGTTAAGTGCTTTGTAATTAGCCCCCCAAAACTTTCAACCTGATGCTAACTAGAGGGACTAATTTGAAAACGCGGAAAAGATTTGGAGCTAATCAAAATATGAAGATTTGGGGGACCGATTTCAAACCATGAAGGTTTGGCGGACTAATTTCAAATATGATGATTTGGGGGACAAATTTAAAAATATGAAAGATTGGGGGGACTAATATCGAAAAAACCCAAATAAGTTATGACAATAGAAAAACTTGTTTCTAATATAAAAAATAAACAGGAGGAAAATAGATAGAGCTCTATCTCGTTCTTTGCTAGGAACGCCCACCCAAGATCAACCCTAGATCCTTTGATGAATTAGTGGCACTGTTATGCCCTAGGCATTTCAAACCAAACCAGAACACCAAAAAAAAAAAGGGCTCTACGAAAGATAGCCAGAGTACCTTTGAGCAGCAATAAACATGTGTTAACTCACCTTTGGGCGAAATAACTAAAGCTCATTTTCCTTCGGGAATGGGGTCTACTTTCAAAACTTTTCTGTCACGCCTAGCAGCAAACCCAGTACTTTCAGCCATCTTTGAGGGGTAGTTTACGAAGGAACATCTGAAGTAAGACAATTTCCCAGTATTCTCAGAAGTCCGGGATAAGGGTGATAGTGTATTCAGCCTCTTAAGTTTATTGAAAGCCAGCAATTCAACTCGTGCTTCTATCAAGGGAAGCACTTGCCTTCCTTTCTTGCCGGATTGCTGCTACAACGGATTAGGATTGAGTGGGCGCTCAGCTCAGGATGGTGATTCTTTGCCTGTTGCTTCAAAATTACAGGGCTAAGGCTTCGAAGTTGGAATTTGTAACTGAAAAAACTACAGGTCATCGAGGAGCCTACAGCAGGGTGGGCGCTTCCTTCCTTCATCTATTGTATGTATCGCTTCACTTTGTCCAGAGCCAATGAGGCATTCTGGCGGGTATGTGCTTGGATGGGTGCTTGTGAAAGAATTGCTTAATAAAATTCACGATAACTCCACTTTAGACCATCATTGAGAATATGATACTTTAACATCTCTGCAAACAATTTGGTAGTCCTACGTCTTTATCTATTCTGTAGCGAAATGCTGAGGAATTCTCTACATTTAAGCAAACAAAAGAAAGAAAGAAAAGGTTATGGTCACTCCACTAACAGCAATGAACTAAAAGACGTTTGCTGTTTGACATAGGAATGAAGAAAGGGGGAGAAATCTATTCTATAACAATTAGAACTTTTTATTTGACTATTCTTATCTTGCCATTGTTTGGTATGGTTTCTTCTAATTTTCTGCTTTTCTGCTCTGTAATCAGGAATTAGCTGCTTGTCTATTTCTTTGGGTGATTTACTTTTTGACATGACAAGCTTACGCATGTCCACACAAACGAACCTTTA